TTCTTCCCAGTCATGACGGGACTGATGTAAGACCATCACTTCAGTCATATATTCCTGTCTCTCACACATTTCCTCGCCCTCTCTTGCCAAAGTATCTTGTTAACTCTTCATGAAAGATCTTCCTAGAAACTCATCTGCTGCATGAGGTCCTTAGCATGACTCTCTTTATTCATGCTGAGATCATATCTACTGATATTCTAGCTCTTCTCCTCCAGGTTCTGTGCTGCAGTCCTTCCTTTTTGAAGTTTCTATTTTCATAGATGACCATTACTTTTTATATTTAATTCCTCCTAAGTGCTGTAATTTCCCAAATGTTTTTAATTCCATAAGCTGTTTCCTGTGATCTTCTCCAGACTACTTCTCAGCATGGTTTTCAGCTTTCTCTGGGGCTATATTTTTTTTATCCACCTCTTCCTCTCCTCTCTCTTCCCTCAGCATACAACAGCACTGGCCTCCTTCAGCCATAGCTCATTTGTCTGTTTAGCATCTGTTTGTCATTCATAGCCCTTGATGTTAGAACACTCATCTTTTTCATATTCCCATCTACAGCCCACTGTGAATAGTTGCACAATGCCTTAGAGTCACCATAAGCATTTAGTGCTATTTCTTCTATTAGGATATTTGCATCCTTATCTCCAGTGCTCTCCTTTTTCCCTGGGAAGTTTTAATATTGTCATCACTGGTTTGAATTTACTGTTTCCTGCAGCTGATTTTTAATTAGAGAGCTGTAATGGGACAGTGTACTTGCAGAAGCCTCATTTGTCTGACTCCACGTATAAGAATCTGTTCCTAAACACAGACTTTGTCAAAATGCAGGTCTTCCACTACTTTTATTACAGATAAGGGAGCCCACCAAAAATGTCCTCATTTGTCCCGATACTCAGAATTCACAAAAAACACAAATAAACTGGCATCACTTCATGAAAATAACATTGTAGAATTTACTTTGGAGACAACAATTGCTAAAATTGATATGTAGTAGCCATGCTCTTCTAAGCTTTCTCTGTTGTGTTTCTCTACGCAGCTGTGAATCAATGCAAGCTAAACAAGGTAGAATTTTTACAGAATGTTCTATCCTGAGGCTAAATGATTTTCCCCCCATTGCCCTGAAACTATTGTAATTAGTATTTATTCTTGAAAAAACTTGAAGGCCATAATCATATATCAGGTCCCTGTTGTGACATGTAAATACACCCATTTTTTATACAACATAAGAGAGCTTGCAAGCCATGCGTGTGAGTGATACAGTGAATACAAAACAGATGAGGAAAGCCCAAGGTAACTGTGGGATGATAATGGCTGGTGTAATAAGCAGAGCTACTGCACCTCAACTGCTTGGCTATGATTAAACTAATGTAATAACTGCTACCATGCTAAGAAAAGGCATTAATAGCAGAATGGTGGTTTATTGTCTGCTCTCTTCTGAAATTTACTCAGCACCAAAGTATTTATTAGAAACATATTTATTGTGTACTCAATTTGGATGGGCCATATGTTCCTCTGCTGATGATGTAATAATTTGTGTTTATTTTTTTTTTCTAAGTGCTGTATAAAAAGACTAAAGATGAAACTGGAACAAGTCATTAGATATCAGTGCTGAATGTGAGATCAGTTTCATAGGAAGACAGTCATGCCTCCAACAAGAAGTTTGCTCTAATGAAATGAAGGAGATCAAAGATGATAGAAAGCAAAGCTATGTAATGAAACAGTGATTTAAGAAGCCTGGGACATTTATTTTATTTTCATTGTAAGATAGGTTACTTGCCTTACAGTTTAGTATTGTTTATTCTGGTGTCTGTACATGGTTTTGATTATATTAATTACATTATTGGCCAAATTCTAAACTGTTGTAAATCAAAATTACTATTCTGACTCCAGTGAATGACAGTGACTTATACCAGCTGATAATCTACCCTTCAATGCCTTACAAATGCAGGATAAAGACTTTGCAAGCCTTCTAAGAAGTTTGTTTGTTTGTGAAAATGTTACAATTTATTGCCGTTTTGCAAATGGATAGAATTTCTTGCTGTAAATACTTTAATTACTATTATAAAATGAATTGAAATTTAATTAAAGATGAAAAAAAGCACAGTGGAAATTTTTAAAAGGATAAAACCAGTGAGAAACACTCCCAGATTTGAATGTCATTTTAACAGTAATTTGAACCAACATCTGAAACGTGTTATATAATTTTAAACATATACTAAAAATTATTTTCTTCCAGCTTAGAGCAAGTGCAGACTCAATAGGTTTTCCAAAGCTTTTAGCTATTTTCCCCCTCAATCTTTAGACATAAACAAACAAGAATGCTAATTAAAAAAGTTACTTCAGGCAATAATCTTGTCAAAGTAGTTAAAGAGGGTTAGACTCAATCATCAGAAGGTAGGGCAACATCTAGAGAAAGCATTCATCATATAAACACATTGCATTTATTTGATCAGGATTCTCCAACAGTTTGAAACAAATGCCTTGGATATTATTGAAAAATATTACTTTTTCTCTTAATGAGACAAGCAAAGGTATGTTTGATTCTCTTCATTATAAAATGAACACGACACTGTTCCAGAAAGCATTTATGATACTAAATAGGTGGACAGGTTTTACTGAAGATTGTTGTACCCTAATTTTCCTTGTTTCTCAGAGGCTGTCACCAATGGCACCACGTGGCAGCAACTTTACTGGGCTTTATGGAGGACCAGTACAAGTGGGGACAGCAAAACCTGATTTCTGAAAGGACTTCAGACTAGTTTGTGTGCAGGCACTGCCAGCGTGTCAGCAGCTCAGCTGTGGGCATCCTTGGAAAAGGAATGTGTACACAGCAGGTTTTATTGGGTACAGCTGAAGGGCTGGACACCAAAAGCATCTCTCAAGGTCTAAGCAGGCTACACACACATCTGGAGTGCCCTCAAGGAAGGTGAGCGAGGCCTTAGAGCAGGCAGAGCTGTGGGGGGACCATGGACCAGGGCCTCAAGGGGCACCTGCTGGGAGATTTGGGCACAGCCAATGACACCTGTATGACTTCAGCTTAGAAAGCATTTTCACATGCATTGCAAAATGGCAAGAACTTGAATGCCTCTTGGAAGAAAGCAAACTCCAGTGAAGATTAAACACCCTCTTGTGCTGACACAGAGAGTATTCATGGAGCCCTCTGTGAAAACCAGCAAAATCCCTGGGGAAGCTGACAACTCTATTCCATTGGCACCCACTGCCCCCCATCATGTGTAGACCTAGGCAGCTGCCTTCAAAATAGACCCTTCATGGTGCAGTGAGTGACACACTGAGGATTTGTGTTGATGGTGTAGCTCAATATGCTGGTCCAAATGAACTTTGTGTTCTGTAATTTATGCCTTTCTTTTTAAGACAACATGTCCTTAAGTTTTTCCAAGAATAGATGTATAATTTAGTATTTTGGGCACTGATCCACTTTACACATTTCCTGATCTGCTCTTGTGTTACTGGAAAACATTTTCCAGGATAAAAGCTCATCCTGGTTGTGCAAGCAATAAAATCAATTCAATTGAACAGAGATGATGGTTGCACAAATATGTATATTGTGTTAAACACAAATGTTGACATTTATCAATATGATTTAGAACCAACCAGATAAATTTCTTCTACTAGACCAAACTTTTAATACTATATTTACGTAACACTTGCATTGAACTTAGAACAGCCTGTGTTCTGCATAATGTTTCAAATAGGAGTGCTAAATTGGTACATTTTTCCCATTGAACAAAGATTTTATGTTTCTGGCAATGGTTTTGTAAGATAATGTACTTGTTAGCCAAAAAAACCACTCAGAAAATAACCCTACTTCTACTTTGATGTACAACCATAACAGCAGGTTTTTTTTTAGGAATGGATATGACCCATCTTATTTTTACACATTATATTATTTCTTTATCCCAAATGTCAAAGATACTTATCTTAGTGAAGGGCTTCTTCATGGATCACATTTCCCTATTTTTTTCTAGGCTACCCTCAAGATGAATGAACTTTATCTTTCCAGGAAGTTAAATTTTTTATTTAAAATGTGAAATCTTGTTGAGTTCCAGGGTTAAGTGCATGGTTTCAAAACATATGGCTCTCTTATTTCTAGCTATATTTAACATTCTTTTATCTTGAAACATTTTACACAATTTCTCAGAAAAGCCAATTTTTAAAAAATAAAAATTTTTTGAGAATAAAATCTCCAGCAGGACCTCTATTTACATACAGGACACAACTCTGGCAACAATTTAACTCCAGCCAGTTGGAGAAATTCCACCTGAACTTAATGTCCCACAATCAAACTGGTCTGTGTTCCAGAAGATGGTTCCCTATCAGATGACAACAGAGAGTATGTGCATTTCCCTTCGGATCCAGAGAAATATAATAATATATGCAGGAATTTTACATAGGCAAGTAGACTTAAATTATTGCACTTGGTGCTGGCCTTGCTCTCAGAGAATTTCACGGGGCAACTTTTAGAGAGCCCCAGATCAGACTGAATCTGGCACTACCTTCTGGACTATATACATTTCATTAATAAACCACTCCCAGATGTTTCCCTGCAAAATATTTCAGCTGGGGAATCAGGACCTCCAAGATATAAAACTAAATAAACTATTTGAGTGTTTCAGAGTCACTCATAATAGAAATGCTAAGACATGATTTTGGGAGCTATGTTACTTCTATTATCATTAGGAGAGAGCCAGTCCTGAATAAACATGAAGAATTTGAGAGCTACAATAATTAACACACAAATATAGCTGACTTTGTAATGGCCAGCACTGGTTCATTAATGAAAGTGTTCTCTTAAGCAATCTGGGTAAGATCCAGACTGTTCCCACCACAGAAAAAGTGATACCTCTTGCACCACCTTACATCAGGTGCACACCAATGGTATTACACAGTAAGGCTACTTATCTATTAAAATTGCAAAAAATAAATAACTACTGAGGATACTTACAATTAGGATACTCTTTCAAAAGCAGAATTGAGTGCCACTTCCCTCTTATCCGCTGTGTCTCACATCCAGTCAGTTCTGCCTTTATACCTGCACAAGAGAAAAAGGAATGATTTAAGGTTTTGATGAAAAAACAAATATCTAACATGCCCTAATCAGTCATAGAGATGTGGCAGCAACCTCTGCCAATCTGCAGATTCTCAGTGAATATTCTAACCCTCTCCTAGACACCTTCTGTATTACTTTTCTCAACTACTCTTATGGGATTTTATACATACTCCTATTATGATTTTAATGTAGAATTTCTACAATTATACAGAGATAACACAGAATTATTGCAGAAATATTTCTACGGTGCTGTAGAAATATTTACTGGAGCTGAAATTCAAAATGTGCTTTCACATAGGAGGGCATAATCCCAACATTTCATATTCTAGTATAGAAACAGCTCCATTAGACCAATCACCATAATCTGGATGCAATTATATTTGTTTTTCCTCAAAAAGTTTTATTTTTATAACTTAAGAGTGTTGTATGAACCCTTCTGTTTTTAATGAGATTATATTTTCTGTCAAAAGACCTTTTTTTCTCAAGTGATTCTTAATATTGCCTTACAAAACACAGATTTGTCATGAGCAAAGGTAGCTAAATTGCATTGCACAGCCCCTTGTTTCCCGTAATGTTCCACTGAATTTCATAGAAATAATCTAGTGGAGAACTACTACTCAACGTGAATAATTGTGAGACTCTGCCTGCCACATATCTATCATGATCATCTAAGATAGCTATAGTCCACAGTATTCAAACTGTGGAAAATGGCATAAAACTGTACAAAAGCTACGAAAAACAACCAAGATTGATTTTCTAGTACCATTAGGTCTATTACATTCAAGCATGTTAAAAGTGAATAATAATAATAACCTTTAAAATTACAAATAAAAGCCTAAGTAAGGCTATGAGGACATAAAACAGTGATGACAGACTACTGTGAGGACTGTTCAAAAGGGATATAACATATTTGTGAGATTTAAGTATGTGCTACTAATATATATATTTTATTATATGATAAACCTATACTTTGGAGATTTTTGATCATGACATATATTGGAATTGACATTAAGGAGAGATGGATGCTCATAGACATTATTGTTTATAAATAATATCTCTTTTATGTAACACACAAACTACCGGAATTATTTAAAGGAGTGCTGATACTGAAAAATGAGTATTGATTAAAAGACAAAAAACAATCCCCAAGAAAATTAAGCATTGAAATCAGACAAAAACATTAAATAAAAGAATGAGCAGTACCCGTAACTTGGAGTGCCACTTCCTAAGAAACACATACAGTAGCAAAATCTATTTTAATTGCATATGGGGACTTTGCCTGGATTATGCCCAGGCACATGACAAACCATTACCAAGTCCCCTGTTGGGAGTAAAGGACAAAAAGGGCTTTTACTTGGCTTGTTGCCACTCTTCTCAGGAACAATAAGTCAGTCACTAGTCACAAAACAAGAGTCCCCTGCATCCAGCCAGCCACCCCCAGGGAGGCTCTGGCTGGCAGCAGTTCCAGGCAGCTCCAGCTTCCCAGTGCCCAGGGCTGGGGGCTGCCAGCCCCTCTCCTTGGCACCAGCTAAACTGGGCTCTCCAGTCATCCCCTCTCTTTACAACTCTTCCTCAATGCTCTGGAACACATTCTTTTAAAAAGTTATTACATTAGCAAAGAGAGGCAGTTTAAGACTCCAAGCCATGAAATATTCTCCTGATTAAGGAGTAGTCACATTCTATATTTCCAAATGGGACGAGTTTCGTTGCCTCTGGCAAGAGCAATATGTACAAGGCTACTGCATCATGAGTGGGCTCAGAGTAATCAATGGTTAACTGGCCAAATGAAGGACAAACTCTACCACTGGGGCCCCAGCAAGGGTCCTGATAAAGGATCTGGAAGGCTTCTGATGCCTTAAGAGCCTGGAAGGCATAGGGGTCCTCTGAAAAGTGAGTTACCCAGTCCCTGTAAGCACCCAACGAGTGCATTTCGAACATCTCACAGATGTCAGCAAAGGCTGACCACAAAATCAAAGGATCTTCTCAGCCTGGTGAAACAGAAACAATCTCAGCCACCCAGAAACTCCGTTTTAATGAAAAATGGGGGAACAAAATACAAAAAGAGCTCATTTGCAGTACACATTTTATGAAATATTTTTTTAGGCATCTTTAAAGACAAGGAAGAAGTCTCATGTCCTTTGATTTTCCCATTGTGCAATTTGTTATCCTGGTACTACCATAAGGAATCAGCATCTCTCCACCTTCTGAATTCCTAATCTCGCGATGCTATTGCTCAAAATGACACTTTATTTCCCCAGGAATGACAGACTAGTAGAACTAATGCCTGATAAGGAAGATTCATTGTGACTTTATTCAACATTTTGTATACTTGCACTAGAACCTGTTATTGTATTTTCCAGCGCAAATCTAAATATTTTTTGCATGGAACAGATAATCTTATCTGTGGATTGATATTGTAGGTGAATATTTTTCCATTAATGATTCATAAGTTTTTCAACTAATCTCAGAACAACCATATTTGCTTTTCTTATTGCATGGTATCAGTTTCATATCTTTTAGAAATCGTAGTTCTCCATCAGATATACTAAGATCATCTTACCATAGATAAAAAGATAAAAAAGAGGAAAATTATTATATGACTTCTAGATACATACAAAAAAAACCATATCAACACCACAACAATTCTCATTTATGATTTCCCTATTTTTATAATAATATCTCAAATTTTCTAAATTTTAAATACCATTGCACAATGAGAAAACTGCTGAATTGTTACTTTCCCTTAGAATTACATCTGAAATGTTTATAAATAGTTGATTCCCACCTTTTCAAAGTTCCTTGAAAATGCAATGTGCATTAGTTAGCACACAATGCACTAATTAGCACAGTGAATGCTGGTTTATATTTGTAATCCCACCTAGAATCCTTCTTTGCATTTGTTTCAGATCAGAAAAGATGCTAAACACAGTATTTACATAACTGCAAGAAACAAGTAATAGAAAAGTCATATGTTGGATTTCTCTGCTGAAGTTAATAACACACAGCAATATAAGAAATTTAACTCCTTTAAGCAGCTTTGATCCCACCATTGTGTTTCATGCCTTTGTTAATAACAGTTTTAATATTGGTAATAAAATATAAAAGTTAAGAATAAAACTGGACATCGCAAGTGCTAAGTCTTTAATGGAAAGAAGGATGAGGAGCCAAAGAAAAGGCTCCCACACTTGTACAAAACTGCCTGGTAAATTGTTTTCCACACAACTTCAGAGTAAACATTCTTTGGCAATGAATTAGCTCCAGGTCTTATGCAGAAATGTTAATGCAACACATCTCAGATATGTGCATTTAATTGTTTTTGTAATTATGTGTCCTAACACTGGAAACAACACTAGGCCCAAATAAACGTGTGCAGTTTTTGGGGTTACTTTTGGAGAACTTCCTTAAGGTTTTGTTTTGCTGGTTTCTCTGATTTTGTTCTTTAAATGGTATCCAGCCCCCAAGGCAACTTTGATAAAGTCAATGAAATTCTACAGGTAGAAAGGACAAAAATGCAGTCTCTGGATTTCAAATAGTGACAACACCAGTCTCACCATTAAGCCTGACATAAGAACCTTTTAATTTAAATGTAATCTCCAAAAGACCAAATTACCAGCAACATGTTCTCATTAATTCCTGTAAGGGATGCTCAAGCTTTGACCCCTCATTGTTCTCCTTATCGAGAAGTGGCTGAGTCATGGTATTAATAAGCCATCACTCCTTTAAGTGGTCATTCACTGCTGGGCGGGGAAAAGATAGGCTCATCCTTTTGAAGTGGGAATGGGCAAGCAAGGCTGCTGTAATAGGCTGTGATTATTTTCACTATGAATGCTCTCCCAGCTTTCAAAAATTAAAAGGAGCACTCATTTTCCTGCTTGAGTATTTCTCACACTGGCAAAAAAATGAACCCTTTGAAATGTAAATGATTTAATCTTTGCAAACCCCTGCTTCAGAGGGAGGTACAGCTTCATTTACAAAATGAAGACATTTTAGGAAATGATTATCATTGTAAAATTGAGGTCAGCAGGGAGTCCGAGTTCAAACTCTTAGAATATCAGCAGTGTAACAAGTTTGATCTTCCTTACTGCATTGCTTGCATTTGCTTCTCTGGGTTCCAGCAGAGAGCCATTGTCAGTCGGAACTTGTTCCCACTCATTTCCCCTGGTTAAATAAAATAGTTATGCTTATTACATAGAGTTAGTACAATAAAATCTAGGTCAAAACTAAAAATAAAAAAGGGAAGTTGAAATTTATTTTGATTAATGTATGCACTATGTGCATATTCAACTTAGAACATTTAAAGGCTGACAGCACTGAGGATACTTTTTTTAAAGTTTAGTTCAGGCAGTAATGTTGGGCAGTGTTACTATACTGTAACTGAAGGAGACCACCCATAATGGTGAGAGACTATTTCATTTAAAATGTAAACATTAAATCCTTAATCTCTCTTCTACAACATCCAAGTAGAATGACAATTATTGTTGCTGGCATTATAGGGTTTTATGGCATCAGTCAGGCTTATTATGAACTGATGGAGGTGATAAATTTGTATAACAAAGTGCAAATGATAACAGCTGCCATCTGACAACAGCCATTATGGAGAGCTTCCCTGCACTGATGGACATTTCAGCTGAAACCAGGGAAATCTGTCAGAAAAGAGGATGAATCTGGGCAAAACACAAAGTGAGAAGTTACAGAATTTCATTGGTGATCTTGAGATAGAAGTTCATCATCTTTTAATCAGTGTTATATACTTATTTTCAGTGGAGTTACTTATTTTTCTGCCATTCCTGAAGAGCCATTTCTGTCTCCCAGCCAGATATATTGAAAGGGATAGCTAAAATTAGAATGTCAAAATGTCATTTGCCTTACAAAGATCCTTGATGTTACACTCAATAGGACCAATGAAATGCTGTTACTGCATGAAAGAAATATATCTACAGCTACCCATATATCAACAACATGTAAGAGAAAAATACCAAATT